AAGAACTTCAACAAAGATAGACATATAAGGAAATACTGAACAGAAGTCACAAAGCTGAAGAATGCAATAAATGAACTGAAAAAATGCACAAGAGGGGTTCAACAACAAACTAGAATGAAGCAGAAGAGCAGATCAGTGACCTAGAAGATGGGGGAGTGAAACTCACCAAAACAAAATAGAAAAAAAAAATTTAAAAAGTGAAGATAGCTTAAGGGACCTATGAAACAACATCAAGTGAAATGATATTTGTATTATAGGGGTCCCACAAGGAGAAAAGAGAGAAAAAGAAACAGAAAACTTATTTGAAGAAATAATGACCGAAAATTAGGGAAGGAAACAGAGTTGCAGATGCAGGAGTCCAGGACCAGACAGCTTCACTGGTGAATTCTATCAAATATTCAAATAAGATTTAATATCTATCCTTCTCAAACTCTTCCAAAAAACTGAAGAGGAAGGAATACTTCCAAACCCTATTTATTTATTTATTATTATTATTATTATTTTAAATTTAAGTTATCTGTATACCCAACGTGGGGCTCAAACTCATGATCCTGAGATCAAGAGTCTTATACTCCTCCAACTAAGCCAGCCAGGTGGCCCCCAAACTCATTTTATAAAGCCAGCATTACCTTGGTACCAAGAACAGACAAGACACCACACACACAAAAAGGAAAATTACAGGCCAATATCCCTGATGAACACAGATGCAAAAATCCTTAATAAAATATTAGTAAACTAAATTCAACAATACATCAAAAAGGTCATACACTATGATCAAGTGGGATTTATTTCAGGGATGCAAGGATGGTTTAACATCTGCAAATAAATCAATGTTATATACCATATTGAGAAAATGATCATTTGATCATCTAAGTAGATGCAGAAAAAACATTTCACAAAATTGAACATCTATTCATAATAAAACTCTCAACAAAGTTGTTATAGTGAATGCACCTCAACGTAATAAAGGCCCATATATAACAAGCCCACAGCAAACATACTCAATGGTAAAAAGCTGAAAACTTTTCCTTTAACAATTAGGAACAAGATAAGGATCCCCACTCTTGCCACTTTTATTCAACAGAGTATTGGAAGTCCAGAGCAATTTGGCAAGAAAAAGAAATTAAAAAGCATCTAAATTAGAAAGGAAGAAGTGAAACTGTCATTATTTGCGGATAACATGATTTTTATATAGAAAACGCTGTAAGACTTCACTAAAAAGCTATTAGAATAAACAAATTCAGCAAAGTTGCAGGATACAAAATCAACATACAACAATATTATGTTTTTATACTGTAACAATAAACTATCAGAAAGAGAAATTTAGAAAATTCCATTTACAACTGCACCAAAAAGAATAAAATACCTAGGAATAAATTTCACCAAGCAGGTAAAAGATCTGTACAATGAAAACTATAAGACACTGATGAAATAAACTGAAGAACACATGAACAAATGGAAAGATATTCCATGCTCATGGATTTGAAGAATTAATATTGTCAAAATATCGATATTATCCAAAGCAATCTATAGATTCAATGCAATTCCTATAAAAATTCCAATGGCATTTTTCACAGAAATAGAGCACAGAATCCTAAAATTTGTATGGAACCGCATAAGATCCCAAAGAGCCAAAGCAATCTTGAGAAAGAGTAAGCTGGAAGCATCATACTTCCTGATTTCAAATTATATCATGCTATGATAATGAAAACAGTATTGGCACAAAAACAGACATAAAGATAAATGGAACAGAATAAAGAGCCAAGGGAAAAATACCCACATGTATATAGCTGATTATTTATGACAAAGGAGGCAAAAATATATAATGGGGAAAAGACAGTCTCTTTAATAAATGGTATTGGAAAAACTGGACAGCCACATGCAAAAGAATGAAAACATACCACTATCTTACACCATACATAAATTAACTCAAACTGGATTAAAGACTTGAATACAAGACCAGAAACCACAAAATTCCTAGAAGAAAACATAGGCAGTAGGCTCCTTGACACTGCTCTTCGCAGTATTTTTTTTTGTAACTGATTCCCAAGGCAATGGCAACAAAAGCAAATATAAACAAATGGGACTACATCAAACTTAAAACCTTCTGCACAGCAAAGGAAACCATCAATAAAATAAAAAGGCAACCTCCTGAATGGGACAAGGTATTGGCAAATTATATATCAAATAAGGGGTTAATAGCCAAAATAGATAAAGAAGTCCTATAACTCAGTAACAAAGTAACAATCCAATTAAAAAAATAGGTAGAAGTTCTAAATAGAAATTTTTCCAAAGAAGACATACAGATGGCCAACAGTCACATGAAAAAAATGCTCAATATCACTCATCATCAAGGAAATACAAATCAAAACCACAATGAGATATCATCTCACACCTGTCATAACGGCTATTTTCAAGAAGATAGAAAATAACAAAAAAAGAAACATTCTAATTTTCTCTCACAAAAAAAAGAAATGTACTCTAATTTTCCCATTTACTTATGAAATCTAAAAAATCGCACTGGGCTCCCTGCTCAGCAGGGAGTCTGCTTCTCCCTCTGACCCTCCCCCCTCTCATGCTCTCTCTATCTCATTCTCTCTCTCAAAAAAAATAAATAAAATCTTTAAAAAAATAAAAAAAATAAAAAATAAAAAATGAGGTGGGAGGCGCCTGGCTGGCTCAGTTGGAAGAGCATGTGACTCTTGATCTTGGGGTTATAAGTTTGAGCCCCACATTGGGGGTAGAGTTTACTTAAGAAAATAAATAAAGGGGGCATTTAAAAAATAAGTAAAAAAAAATTAAAAATGAGGTGGAAAAGATAAATTATTAACTAAAATTAAATTTTAACATTTCACAGCTTTCGATGCCAGTCCACAGTGTATCCTTCCTTCTGACCGTTCTCGTAGTTCACTTTGTATGACACACTTTAGCACTTGGGTATATATTGTTTTCTGCTCTTAGCTAATTATTTTTTTCTCTCCATTTGTATTTTGAGCTCATTAAGAGCTGTACTTCCTTTCCAACCCTATCTTTCAGAGCAAATAGTTGGTAATGAATAAATGCTAGTTGATTTGTACTCTGCCAATCATATGTTACTTCTATAAAAAATTAGCTACAATATTTATAGGAGGCAGAAATTGATTAAACTATTAATTATGGGTTTATTGGGTAGAAAGTAGAAGACATTTTACTTGATACCATATAACCCTAATACATTAAAAGAAAATGCTATATGTCACAAATCAGTACTGCAGCTAAATAGCTTCATGCTCTGCCTCTACCAGTTGTTTCTTTTTTAAAAAATGACTCTTCCAACTATAAATATTCTGCTTTTCTAAAGGAAGATGACACCTGTTTGACAACTTTATTCCTATAAGAAATGGTTTTCTAATATGAAATTAAAAAATTAAAAGGGAATAACTATATGGTACTTAGTGTTACACCATTACTTTCAACATATTATGACTAATCCTAAATTTAAACATCTTGGTTGATGACACAAAATTCAAGAGATCTAGGTCTGAATTTTTCCTTTCTTGTTTAAGAAATGAGTAGAAAAGTACATAGAACACATAGAAGACTCTGACTTATTCAAAGATAGGCTCCTAAAATATTAATGACTCAAATGATACAGATCAAATATAGGCCTGATACTGCTAGGTTTTAAGGTATAAACTTTTACAGTTTTTCCAGGTTATTAGTTAGCATTCTTTAATCTTCCTAATCCATATTTAACAAAGTTATTTCAGAATTCATCAGTGCCATTAACAAAAGTTTACCCATACACATATATAATTACATATACATAATTTTATTATCCATATTGACTTTCCTATAAAAAGTTTTCTGTCCTGCTGGTGAATGTGCTCATATCTTTACGTTATATTTGAACTTTGATTTGATGTAATACTACTTTAATTATGACAGTAATGTAATTTATAATGCTATTTTTCTCCTGTCTTCTTCCTATAGGGAAAGAACATGAAACCCAGAAGCTTGGCACATGAATTCAGAGCAGCTCTTCTTGCCCTAATACATCTTATCATTCTGAGAAAATTAATGAACCCAGAAAAACCTCTTTTAAAAAGTAGGATTCAGGGAACTATAATCTTTCACGTTAATGTCAGAACACTAAAGGCCAAGTGTCTTGTCGAACGGCATACAGGTAATGAGGTGAACTGAAGTGGTTTCCTCATTCCCACCATACTCCTCCAATCCCAGGCCTCACTGTCTGTGTTCCATGGAGGAGGGTTATAGTTCTGAATTGTTTGTACCCTTTATAAAGATTACACTGTGTATATTTCCACAGAGCAAGGTCACATTAATCTCACACAGTTCTTTCAAAACCTCAAAAGAGGTTTTTGGAATTCCATCCTCCCTGAGCTTATACATATACATATATATTTAAAGATTTTATTTATTTATTTGACAGAGGGAGCACAAGCAGGGGCAGCGGCAGGCAGAGGGAGAAGGAGAAGCAGGCTCCCGGATGAGTAGGGAGCCTGATGCAGGGCTCGATCCCAGGACCATGGGATCATGACCTGAACTGAAAGCAGACGTTTAACCGACTGAGCCACACAGGCGCCCCTCTGAGCTTATAATTAATCAAATTAAAAATTCTTCATGAGATAAGAAAAGGAACTGGAAATGAACCAAAAGAGCAAGAACCTGGATAAGCTAAATATTTTTTGTAGATGAAAAACTTTTCTGAAGAAAACAGTGACATGCATATAAATTCCCAAATCCTATTTAAGTAGTAAATCAGATATCCTGAGGGAGGGTTAGACTTGGCCTTAAAGGTAGGCAGCTACCTATGCCCGAAAATCTGCAGGACTCATTCCTAAATGTTTTGAGTGGTGAACACAGTCCCAAAGGTAGGGGAAGCATGAGGCTGGGTTGGGCTCCTTCAGAACCCTGAGGGGAACATCTACCTGGTACTTGTGTCCCAAATCAGAATTGCTAAGACCTACTTAGTTTATTATAAATATGGCTTACAGTACCTCTGTAGGGTGGAAAACTATGTTATCTAGTTTGTAATCTCCATGAATCAAATTTTCTTCATTGTCATTATCTGGCAAGTTTTTCATTAGCCAGTCAGATAGCTGTTTCATGGCAGGGATGTCCTGATGAGCTACAGCTTGATATTGCTCTGTCCAGGTTGATACCTAAAGATATACAAATAAAAATTATAGAGCTGAAAGTAGAAGTAAGATCCAACAATTCTAAAATTAAGACAAAATTCGATTATATCAAATTTGGTCTTATTCCTAAATGCTCAAGACAAATGCCTATAAGTGACATTCACATGAGCCTAAAACATTTTTTTTAAAAAGCCTTAAACACTTAAATCTCTCTTCCATCTAGTTCATTTTGCTAACCTAGATTTTTATCAGGAAAAAAAAAATACTGGCATAGGAATCAAGAAATGTGGGTTCTAGTCTTTTTTCTGCAATTATTTTGTGGAAGAAAAAAAGAATGTACACAAACACATACACACAAATAAATAAGAACAGGAGATTTCTGGAAGGGTCACAAGAAACAAGTAATCACTGAAAAAGGAAATATGGGGGCTAGAAGAAGAGATATTTTTACTTTTCATTTCAATAACTTTTCTTATTACCCACAGAATCTTCTAAATATATTTCAGGTATAAGAAATGCAAAGACTTTTTATTATTCTTAGAATCAAATGAAACAACTCAAACTCTTCTCAAAGTCCTCCATCAATTGAGACCATATTATTTATCAGCTTATAGTTCTCTCCACATTCCCCAAAGTATTCTGTTCAACTTAGTGCAGTAAAGACCTTCATCTTTGGAATCATACAGACCTGGGTATAAATTATGTCTAAGCCACTTATTTGTGTATTATTTCATATCCATTAGCCTTAGATTCCTCATCTACAAAATGGGGGTAATAATATTTATGTCTTAGGGTTGCTACAAAGATTTAAAAAGAGTAGGTCAGCAACTCACCTACCATGGGACCTGGCATATAGTAAGTACTCTCTAAATCTTGGTTCCCTTCTCTCTTCAGTCAGCCCCCTCAAAAAGACATACAAACAAAAGGAAATAGTCCCGTACATATCTGGTCTAGCTGTCCCTTTGAAATGTTCACCATGTCTTCCCTATCACTCTTGATTTTCTCTTTCCTTATATATACAATGCAAGACATATCTCTCCCACAAAGCTTCCCCCACCTAAGCAAAGGCACACTGACATCCACCCTCTGAATGGAATAGCTCTCATCATGAGTACCGAACCATTTACTACTAGATTAAATACTCCTTTATTCTATTTTCAAGTTTCATGTAAATGAGATTCATGTATAGGTCTCTCAAAAAATGACCAAAAGTTCCTCTAGGGAAAGAAGTTACTTTTATTTTCTTGACATTTAACACAGTACTCAGCAAGTATTAAACACATAGTCGTGCTTAATAGATATGTTAACTTAAAAAGGGAAACTGTATAGAAAATATATTGATAAATTAAATGAAGAGGCTGAAAAGCTTTAAATTTGCATGCATGTACAGGTTGTTAGTTATAGAAGCTTAGGCTAAAAAAACCTGATCTAAACATATAAAATTAGTTTATGCTAACAACAAGCCAATATAAAGGCTGATATTAAAAGTTATACCCAAGTTTCAGGAAAGTATAAAATAGGTTTTTATTTTGACTAATAACATATATTATTTCCAAGAACTTGAGAAAAGGAGCTCTTTATGTGGATGTATTACCTGTCTTTTGCAATAGCCAGCACCTCGACCATAACCTTCCAGCTGCAATGACTGTACATTCAAGGAATGTAAGTGAGCCAAGGTTTCTATCATGGCCACATACATGGCTGAGCGTTCTGCTGGGCTAACTCCAGGAATTGTGAAATCACGAAAGATTCGACCCTATGGAAACAATTACAACAAATAATTTAAAACAAAATAAACGTTTTCATACCAATTATTTGCTGTCATAATCCCCCACTGCCTCCAAAAAAAAAAAAAATCAGGATAATAGTTTACAACCAAAAACAATTCTTTGTAGAATATGCTAGAAAAACATTCTTTTGAGAAATGTGTTCAATAGAGTATATGTGCCAAAGGAAAAATACAAGGACATTCCAAGTTGAACATAAAGGACAAAAACTACTCTCAAGTTACATTTTGCAAAAAAAAAATTTTTTTTAAACACTTTGAATTTATTGTTCTTAATGGATGGATTTTCTGTTTGGAGTCATTTTCTTCCCCCCTACCATCTGGAGTGGTTGGTTATTGCCATTACATATAGCTCTTTATTGCCACCTAGAGGAAAATTTAAGAATAAGCTAAAGGGCCCTAGTTACTAAATTTGTTCCTAGTCTATTTCATCCCTCCCACATTGCCTGTGCTCAAATTAAAACAAAAGTTTAAGCCCTTGCAACTAATTACCTAAATGCTAATTAATAAACTATCATTTATTAACATCTAATTTCATAATTAAAAATAAAAGTAACAATAAAGTGAGATTAAGTGTTAATTTACCTGCACATGGTCCATCAAGTAAAATTCTGTTCCAATGACAGAAGGATCACTGCAGTACAATAAAGGCTTGGGAACGGGGAATCCAACTGAAAACAAAGCTTTCTGGACTTTAAATTCTCTATCAATCTAAACAGGATGATAGATTATTAAAAATCAGAAACACAGAAATTTTTAAGTTTTTTTAAAATTTAGTTATTTTTCTTTAGTAATCTCTGTACCCAACGTGGTGCTCAAACTCATGACCCCAAGATCAACAGTTGTGTGCTCTTCCAACTGAGCCAGCCAGGTGCCCCAGAAACACAGACATACAATAACTATTTGTGAGCTTACATTAAGGCTAGAAATCAATTTTGAAACAGTATCAACAAATGACCTAGAGGATAATAATTTCCTTAAAAGTAGTCTTAGTGCAATTATTACAATTATAATTAGCCAGCACTAAAAACCCCCTGATAATTAGGCTAAAGGATAGGCACGTGCATGGGACTTAACCTTGGCTCTGTTAATATGAAGGCAACAGTTCTCGACCACAATATTTCAGATTATCATAAAAACATCTTTGTTCTCAGCAGTTCCCTGCTTGCTCATTGGCTTACTCTTGCTCACTCTTTCTTTCTCATATCTCCCAAGGGGACTCAGGCAAGTCTCTATTCTACTGCTCTGGGCACAGTCAGCTACAGGGTGCTGGGCGAGAGCAGTAAGTGCTGGTAGAAGGGGAAAACCACTATCTCCTTCTGGAGATCAAAAGAGGTACTTGTTTCTAAAGCGTAGGGGAATCCTTCCTGGTACCCAAGGCTACCATGGAGCTCAGGATAACCATGGGGAAAGGAGGCAATGAGATGCAAGCTAGTACTGAAGCAGGAACCCAAATAAGATAAAAGGGCCTCCTCAACCAGGACAGATATATGGGCCTATCACTCAGGACCTGAGGACACACCTTATAGCAGAGCTGTGATGCTGACTCACCTGTTCCAGACTCAGTGGTGACTGATCACTTTCCTTTTTTTTTTTCTCAAAGATTTATTTATTTATTTTAGATGGGGATAGGGGAGAGGCAGAGGGAGAGGGAGATTCTTAAGCAGACTCCTTGCTGAGCTCAGAGCACAGAACCGAACACAGGACTCGTCTCTGGGCTTGATCTCAATACCTGAGCTGAAACCAAGAGTCTGATGCTTAACCAACTGTGCACCACCCAGGAGCCCTGTGACTGATCACTTCTAAAGAGGAGAAACCATGCAGCTCACTTTGACAGCTGACAGCAGGGATAAAGCAGCAGTTAATAAAGATTAACTAGAGCAGGGACATGGCTAAACCCATGACCAAGGTGAGAGAAGCCAGTGGAACCAAAGGTTATGAAAGAAGCGTCTGTAATCACCCTGATGCTGGGGGTGGGGTGGGTGGGGTAAGGACAAAGGGGTTAGGGAGAGAACATTGCTTTTTTCAGCACGGACTTAGAAGAAAATGAAGGGAGTTGAAACCAACTAAGCCAGATCCTTGGGCTGAGAGCATTACGTTATTTTCTGATGTCTTCTGGTAGAAAGTTATCAAGAAGAGAGACAAAGAGAGTTGTTTATTGGGGCATAAATTTCTGGGCATAAGTGGGTATTCTCCTTCAGCCTTACCATGTTAACACTTAATAAAAGTTACCCAACTTTTTAAATCTTAAGCATCCAAGTTACTTCATATTTCTTGGATATGGAACCAAGAAAGCCAGAATCTGCATTTTTCCATTACTGTAATCTTAAGCCTATCCTTCAGTGGCCCTAACCCAGTCAGCTGGGCCTGGGAAATACCTATTATACATGGTTACAATACCCTAAATACACACAGTGCTTTTACTGTTCTCTAGCACTTTGATTTCTGTTTTCTCCTGTTTTCATCTCTAAAATTCTACAGATAATAGCTATTTCCTGAAAACAGAGTCAATTTTTTTTTTTTAAAGATTTTATTTATTTATTTGA